TAATTTTTCTTATGGGACATTCATTTGAAATACTTTCAACTGTTTTAACAGTTAGTTCTTCTATGCCTCATTGCAAATCTCTTCAATGCCAGTAGCACTATTCAACATTGCTGCATCTGATTTATTGAGCTTCTTTGCTATGGGATATTTAATAAAATAATGCATTAGGCATAATTAGAGTGTGACTAAATTAATTTCTGTAATGCCGATTATACTGGATTATTGCAAAAGTAATTCACACCTCTACGCCGTGCACCCAACACCACCTCCAAGCCAGCTCTCAGTATAAAAGGTATACGGCACACAGAAAGCAATGAACAAGCATCAGAATTTGCAAAATTGTAACTAAAAAAAATTTAATAGTAGCAATTTCCAATAAATACAGTATTAAGTAACTACATACTGTTGTACTGAATTTTATCATTAAATTCATGTTTCTTCTTTTGTCCACTTAACCAACCTAGAAGGCAACTGGCTTGGCCAAGCACGATTTGCCCTCACGACTCTGTGCTGCTTGTTGCTCCCCATCATCTTGCCCTTTGTATACTGGAGATGGATTCCAAAAGCACACGCAGCACATGCTCCATGACTGTTTTGTAGATCGAGGTTAAGTTTGATCTACCAATAGTTCCTCTTTCTTCACCTTTTTTAAAAGTGGCCATAATAGCCTGAAGCCAGTCGTTGGAGATCTCTCCAGTCCCAATGCTTTTTTGTAGCTGACAGGGAATGCTGTTATTTTGAACACCATTTGTGAGTAAGACCTGTACAGTCCTGTGGTTGTGACTGTAGAGCACCATGATCTGAAGTCTTTCTAACCCATTGCTCTCCCAGTCTTGGCAGCTCTTGTTCTTCAGAAAGGATGCTTGTACACAGAGAAAACAGAAGCAGGCTTTGCCTGCGAAGACCAAAGCAAAAAAAATATTTCTGCCCTTTCCATATGCACCAATAGGGTGTTATCCTTGGCTGTCAACATGAAGAGAACGGCAGGGCTTTCTGTACACATGACATCTATTCTAGAATAAAGGTTTATTCCATGAATAAATCTCAGTTAAACACTGATATAAGCGCTGCTGAAAAAGATTAGGTTCATCTTGATTTTGCTGAAAAGGAATTCTTCAATGACAATCGGGCAGGCGTCCTCCACCCCTTCATCAAGCCAAAGCAATGAGCAAATATGAAAGTTAATCTCAAATGTGAACAACTACGAGCTGCAGGAAGGATCTAAAATTACTTTGTCCTTCATTTTCTTTCATTTTCCTAATTTTCTTTCCTCAATTTATCCCTGCTTCACAAAAATAAAAACAAGGGTACTAAGGACATTTAGCAATGTTTTAACCTCCTCCCAACACATACTACAAATCCACTGAAAAAGTAAAGCAGACTCCTTGCATGGACATCAAGTAAGGCACTGACTGGATTACTTACATCTGAAAAAGTAAATTACTTTTTTAAAAAAGGTATTTTTTCATCAAATAAGTAATTTTTAAGAAATACAAGTTTTACAGCTCTAAAGACTGATATGCTAACATACCATTCTCAGGAAACACCTGCTGATGACAACAGTAAAAAGAAGAATGTACTTACATATTGGTGACCTTTCAACAATGCTCAACTCCTTTACCATATCTCATCAAAAGAGTTCAAACATGCCAACAAATACTGTGGCTGTTCTACTTCACAGAATGCAAACGAGCATCTTCCAGTTTCCTTAGTATGCAATCGACACTTGCATCGACAATATGCACAAACCCTAGACCTTTCCTAACATTACTTTTGAAGAAGCAAGAGTTAAATTTGAAATATACAAAGTGTTCAGGTCAGTGATCTGTGCTGGTTGCTGAACAATGTATAAACTTCTGCATCTGTTTACTCTCACTTCACATTTACACAATTTTCCTCATAATACCTCTATTTTTACCTTAGAGAACAAGGAAAGTAAAGATTGCAGTGAACGCTTATTATGGTTCAGAAAGGAGCAACGTTCACTGTTTGGAGTTTGAATCCAGCCAGCAACAATTCAGGGCACAAGGCCAAATTGACCAGTCTGGTGTCATAACAACCATGAATACCAAATCAGTTTGGAAAGAACAACACAGTCAAAGGAAAATAATGGAAGTACTGAGACTTAACTTGACAGGACTGCTGTGTACAGGAGTTGCTCAGAGGAGCAACTATGCTTGGAACCCAAAAGAACAGGGAAAATCATGGTGAAAATGGGCACAGGAACACAGGGAGGCACAGGCAAGGAACAAACTCGGGAAGCTGCAAGGAGTGCTCTGATACACAGTAACAGGGACAAATATAACAGCAAGCTGCTAGTCAGAGCCAGCCTAAAATGGGACTGGCATTGTTTAAGAATGGTAAAATCTTCAGTAGTTGTCCTGCTTGGAAGAAAACATAGCGTTAATGATGACTACGTCCCTTCATCCACCTAACGATTCTTCTCACACCCTATTGCGTTTGGCATAACAATGCCAGCAAGCTGCAGTGAGTTCTTACCGGGGAATGCAAAGGTATCTATCAAATTCAATTGTAATGTATGTATCGTACCACTTGTAAGCAATTTGGGTGAGGGAATAATCCAGGAAGGAGGAGGTGAAATATCCACTTGTATCCACTAGCAAATCGAAATTGTTTCTTATTTTTGAAGGATTTATTAATGGCAAGAAGTCGATGACCATTTTGATACGTGGACAAAAACAAACAAAAGAAAAGGTTAAGACCCAAAAAGCAATCAGAGCTATTGGTATACCATTGAAACCAGATTTCAGAACAGCCAAACATTCCTGAAATGGCAGTAATGACTAGGAATGTTGATGAGAAGACAAGAGAATAAAGTAGGTGGGATATCACTAACATCCAAAGACTATTTTCTGAAGAAACCATCTGAAGCATTCCAGGTAGACTTAAAATACACCTGTGTATGATGCAAGAAATTGCATTAATACATTTAATGAGATCATCCAGACTGCACCTATTATGTCAATGGTGTTACACATAAATTGTTCAAGAATATTAGCTTGCTGGATTTATCCACTTTCAGAAGAATAGCCTGTTTGGCAAAAAGACGTCTTTTTTTGTTTTCTAAACTGATTACATCAAATAGACCAGAAAAAGAATGACAAAAAAACCCCACCCACCTCCTCTCCAAATCTCGAAAGTTTTGTAGACAAATCTTGTACATACAGATTCAAACATCTGTGCCCAAAAGAGATTGTATGTCAGCGAAAAAGAGACATGCGTGCACTCCGTAAAACGAAGCAGAAAGGCTTTGTGGCTGAGAGGCAGTGAAGCCTGAAGACTGGACCACAATCGTTACTTCTCACCATCAAGTACCAGAAGAGGCACGCAACATTAGAAGATAGCAGGTCTGCAGTGTACAAACAGAAATACATTATTTCCCTTAGCATTTAATTAAATTTTAGGTCCCAATACTAGAGGATGTTGTGAAGGATAAATGGGTTCTCAAAGAGATTAGATGAACTCACAGTGAACAAACACGTCTGTCACAGAATATTAAAAGCAACTGTTAGAATACAGCTGGGTTATGAGATATCTAAACAGCTATCTGCTGCAAGCTGGTGCAATGAGCTTGAGAAAAGATCACTCTATACACGACCTGTTTGGTACAGCCTTTGCATCTATCCCTTGTTCCAACTGGAGACAGGACACTAAGGCTTGACAGACCTTTGCTCGGATCCAAGAGGAAGGTTCTTAATCCGCTGTTCCTTCTATTGAGGCAGGTCTGCAATTATTGACTTATCCATATTTAATCCTCTAATTTCTTGGTTCAAAAAACCAATTCTTTAAGATCTTCTAAATTAGTCACAGTAACATATATAAGTTCAGCGGTTTATATATTACATTCAATTTCGAAGGATTTGTGACTGCTTCAGGTCCATTGAGGACATTAGCAGTAATGGGTTCTTGAGAGCTGTATTACCAGAAGCTAGTCATTCTATGCTACAAAGGATTTTCTTAAATCACAGTAGTAAGCTTCATTAAAACACCTCAGGTGTGCATCACTCCCATGGATTCCACATTCTCAGTCCCAACTGGCTAGAATTCCACAGTTCGTACAAACTTCCATAACATTTCCTTGTTCTCTTCAGGCTTTAATAGGAGTTGAATTTACGGATTAGGAACAGACAGACCAACATGGAGAAGCTGTAAGAGCTAATTTCTCACCACCTCTGCACTCCTTGGATAACCTTGATGACTTCTGCAAATTTGAGCAGCCAAAAGGATGATCTCATGATACATGTGGAATCGTTGCTACATTTCAGGCAACATTCTATACTCTACACGGCACGTACATGTTTAATAACATCTGTTAATGTTTAATAAAAATTTCCCAAAACTCAAAGTTTTTATTCTAGCAACACTTATTTCCTTAAGAAAAAAATACTCATTTTCCTAAGAAATTGAGCCTTCAAAATTAGAGAAAAAAAAATGGTTATAAAGAATGGCTGGAGTTTTACGGCTTAGTTTTGGTATTTTTCAAGTTCCACCATTTGTAGTGCAGACAGAAATCTCTGCTTTCAGAAATACATGTCTGAGACAAAAATGAACACAGCTTCCCAGAGCAAGATAAAAAATGATTTTTACAAACTGCATAGGAAAAGCACTCTGAATGTAAAGGAATTCCATTTTTATATTAATTTGCTTTAAACTACTGTTAATAAATTGTTAATAATTCAGACTTTTTGGTTTATTTTTGCAACAATAGTAATTGTTTATTAAGAACAGTACAGGTTTTGGTCTCCTGCACAGAAATTACATTCTCACTTTTTTTTGGCAAGCCACTTCTTCATTCAGATTTATGGTTTTGGTCATGAAAGCATAAGGTAAAATATTACGTTACCTACAGTCATCCAAAAGTTTGTTCATTTACAGCACAAACTAATACTACCTTAATATTTGAGCTGCAGATATTAATTTCTGCTCTGACTGAAGTGAATAAAAACATCCAGTTATGCACATTCTAAAATATTTTGCCATACACAGATGTACAAAATATAGCATCAAAAGTCCCAGTACGATTCTTTGAATCTATTTTTTTGCTAATAAATTGTACTATTATTCCAAGGGAAATTTTAGGCAGACAAAACCCTGAAGTATTTTACAGCAAAGCACTTTTCATGTATGTTAACACACACAGACTCTGACTGAAGAGAGTCCGCAAATGAATCCAAGTTTCCTCAAGTTGCGTTGACAATCTGGATACTTCTTCCAATAGGTTTGGCTCTGATGACAGAATCTTAAGATGCAACTGAAAATTAAAAAAAGCAGTTACTGAAGCAAATACAGACAATAAAAAAATTAAAATACTAGTTTCCCCATTCAATTCCAATACTTTGCTATCAGAAATATGCCCAAATTGAGGAAAGGACCCTGTTCCTTCAATGAATTCCATTTAGTGCTGCCTCCCTTTTTCTAGTCTTTTACAAGCCTTTTTACTCCATGAATGTATTAGATGGGATAAAGCAGCAAAATCTCTTAAATACGTTTTCATTTTGCTAGATCTTCTTCTGCCACTCCTGCTGACCCTATCCTAATAACACACTTCTTTAGAGGGTAATTTTAACCTCTTTCCAACCTGCGCCACAAATCCCTCTTTAGGCTAGAAAAACAGATGTCCTGAGGTCAATCACGTTTATTGTTTAATTATCCACATTGGACAAAGCAAGAAGAATGATGCCAACACACTCTATACTGACACAGGGAGACAATGACTCTCTATGTAATAAACAGCAAACTTGGTAAGGGATTAAAAAAAAAAAATCTCAATCTTGTAGAGAGGCAATACATTATTACCACTTAATGGATAGAATAATTATTTTCCTGGCTACAGCATAAATCTAGGAGTCTCACTGAGCTGTTCTACTTGAAGCAGAAGTTTATATTTTACTGTAGTTCAGACCACGAGTACACTTCTGAGGCAAATTACCTAGCTGTTCCCAGTCTATCCTGGAAGAGCTAAATTTCTGTTACATGAAACTAAACAAAAAGACGAATTCTAACATCTAATATTGCAACTATTAATCATATCCAGTCCATGGGACCAGACTAATTCAGAACAGACTAATAATAGATATCATAAAAAGTCATTGGTGAATGAATATCATGACCTCAACCCTAACTGTTTCATTCTACAGATCTACTTTTCATCTCGACTGCTTGTTCTTGTGAAACCTGCCCCACATGTTCTATTTAACCCCAATAACAGAAGCAAGTCATATTTGTCTAGCATTACACTCTGTCGTTAAAACCAATCTCTACAATATTGCTACTAAGGAATATTCAGCTAAACAGACAATATGACATGTGTCTGAATATTTCTAACCTTCTCCTACTAAACTGTAATTAATTGCTTTCCCACAGTTTCTTAATTTAGAGTAACTTTGTCAAGATACCATTTGTACCTCAGAAGGGATTCAATCTTCTGAAGAACCACTTTATCTCCCAGAGTAAATGCTATCACAGTAACTTTCTCACTTGCACACACCTGGGTATAATTCCCTGAGTTCTGTGAAGCTTAACAGCTAACAGAAGAAAGGCAACCCACCGACACCGGGAGTAAATGGCAATGTCTAGTGGTAAGTCCAAGAAAATGCCTGTTTTACTTCCCCAAATGTTGTGCACTGAATTATTTTCCTATTTAACTACAGTATATCTTAGCTTAGCAATTAACAACCCTTAAGGAGTTAGGGTGTTGCACAAAATTAAATAAATTCTAAATTAATTAAGATTAGAAAAACATCCATCTGGCAACCGTCTTCACATCTGTTTTTCACAAGATTTTCTTGACTGTGACCAGATGAGTTGTCAAATTACCATTACATTCCATTAGACATTTTAAAACTATTCCCAACAAAAATCATATTAACATAATTCTTTTGAGCAGACAATTTACATCTGTTTACTGAACAACCATCATTTTAAATAGGACTAACATAAAATTTTATAAGAAAACTGTTACCTTTAAAAATAATGCAAGGTAAGCCTGAGCAAGTTCAAAGTTGTACTTCTTGTTCAGCATCATCCCAATCATTCTCAAAAAGCTTAGCATCACTTCCCTTGAGCCACCACCTTCAGGGGCCAAACTTCTTAGTTCTATCTCAATATTAGATGGTCCCAAGCTTTTCAGTAAGTTAAGCGGAGCCATATCTGTGTTAAAGCATGGAACAATACATTGTCAGTAACATTTACAGAACAGACTTACAAATCCTTCACATGGACAGATTTATTCAAAAATTCTTAAGCAATGACCGTATATTTCAAGTTTCTACTCTTTTCTTACTTCTTTTTTTCCCCCCACAAAATGCCATCCTACCCTCAATTTTCTGTCCCATCACATAGTACAGAGAAGTACACCCCTAATACGACAGCGGCATTTTACTTGTATGCTCACTTTGAAAAATATAAGTTACATCTTTGTATTTGTGTTACTTTTTTCCTATTTCTGTTCATTAAGCTGGGCAAAATTTCTTATTAAGCATATAACATTGTCATTTGATATCTCTCTGCAAAAACAAAGTATAAACTAGGCACTTCAAGCTGTTACTACAAGTATATCTTAGAAAAAACAGAGTACTATTTTTAATAGGAATTTTTGCAGTGTTTACTCATATGGACATTAACCTAAATCAAAAGATAATGTCTTACATCTAAGGTAGTTATTACTTTTGTTTAAGTAAATTCCTCCTGCTCTTCCTGGGACCTGGGGCATAGTGGGGAGGGGAAGTATTTTCCCTGGTAGAAATATATGCAATTTACAAACTCATTCCTCCTCTTTATGTTTTTCCTCAGGATTTCTACAATCCTACCTAATCCATGAGAATTCCATCCATTTGCTTTAAAAATGAAGAAATCAAAATATGTACGGTTGCAAACACACAGCTGTTGGTAAAAATATCTTTTAAAAAGTCTTCTAATTAATGCTTCTTTTGTTAAGAAGTTCCTAAGAAGCGTAACTTACACTCGTACATCATGGTAGCCAACGGTATTAGGCATTAGCTAATATTCCTTAGGTGGTATAAATCTCTTTCCACCTGTATTTGATTCCTATAAAAATCCTTAGTTAGTTTTAAATTTAAATGTGGTATTAACAGTACTAAACAGATGCGTTAAAAGGAAAATTGTTCACAATACGAACACTCAGCCAGTGGAATCTCACCAGGGAACTGGTGGATTCCCCAACACTGGACACTTTTGTAAGATTCAGCTGAGCAGGGTACTGAGCCATGTGGTCTAGACCATGCTTTACCAAGAAAGGTTTGGCCAAATGACCTTGAAGTCCCTTCCATTCTATAATTTAGAATTATATGACTCTATGCCTCTATGATTCATTACCCCATTTTTGTGCTATCATATTAAAAAATCTAGCACGGAACACACTACAACAGTGGTACACATACAATATGGAAAAGGTGCCTAGCTCAACGTACACCCCACAGTTCTGATCCATGAAACCCTGTCTCCATCCCAATGGTAAGCCAGGATGACTTTTAGTACAAAACTATTTAATTGCATAGTCCAGTCACCTTTAGAAGAGATGCTTCTAAACTAGCAAGCACAAAGCCATGTTACACACCTGCAACTTCCTGAGTAAGGATGAACAAACTCCCTGGATTTGGATAGAGCACAGACCGTGGAGCGCACACACCTTAGAGCAGAGAGGTGGCCTGAGGGAAGGCCACAGGGCCACTACTGCAGTGCATCATGGAGTGCACTTGCCTGGTACAGCCAGCTTCTAGGTGCTTGGTTAGGTTTTTAAATATTCACCTGATATTTCACTCTTCTACAAGCAACGATGAAGGAGCTTAACAGAATTGACAAGAAGTTAAACAGGACCCATCAACATGTGTTTGTAGACTCGAAAGCCAATCGCATCCTGGGCTGCATCATAAGAAACATGGCCAGCAGATGGAGAGAGGTGATTCTGCCCCTCTGCTCCGGTGAGACCCCACCTGGAGTACTGTGTTCAGCTGTGGAGCCCTCAATACAACAAGGACACAGACTTGTTGGAGCAGGTCCAGAGGAGGGCCAGAAAAATAATCAAAGGGCTGGAGAACCTCTCCTGAAAAAAACAGGCTGGGAGAATTGGGGTTGTTCAGCCTGGAGAAGAGAAAGCTTCAGGGAGACCTTATAGCAGTCGTTCAGTACTTAAAGCAGGCCTACAAGGAAGCTAGGGAAGGACGCTTTATGAGAGCATGTAGAGATAGGACAGGGTATAATGGCTTTAAACTGAAAGAGGGCAGCTTTAGATCAGATATAAGGAAGAAATTGCTCACTCTGACAGTGGCGAAGCACTGGAACAGGTTGCCCAGAGAAGTTGTGGACAGCCCCTCCCTGGAAATGTTCAAGGCCAGGCTGGATGGGGCTTTGAGCAACTTGGTCTAGTGGGAAGTGTCCCTGCCTCTGGCAGGAGCGTGAGAACTAGATGATCTTTGAAGCTCCCTTCCAACCCAAACCATTCTACGATTCTATGAATACTATCAGCTGAAATACCAAAAAAAGCATAAAAACCACACCTTGTTTCTGACAGATAGTAAAATTCTGCAAACAAATGTTTTAAGTGCAGTTGAGTATGCTGGTCATCTCAAAAGAGTTTAAGAAGAGGTACAAAAATTCCCAGCAGAAATGCCTTGTGGACAAACTACCAGTGACTGTCCATGTATGTTTCCAAGTCAGTTGTATTAGCAACCATTTCAAAACTCTGAATTTCAACAATTCTGCAGCAGCACAAGTTAAACATGGAAAACAGCAGGTATATTCCATAGGTAACTGAAGTGACTAAATTTCAAAATGAATTGAATGTTAAAAGAAATCCAACAGCTCATTTTTATATCAGTTATTTCCTCTTAAGCTTTAAATTACAAAGCAATCAATTAAAGCTACAAGTTTGCTGACTATTTAGCAAAGTAGCCCTTGAAAATAGAACTTCCTAGGCAGACTATGTTTTTCATGTTTCAGTGAATCACCAGATTGTTCCTTACCAGATCATTTCCTTCTTATCCTATAAATACTACATAGCACCTTTTCTGAGTGAAATTATCATAATCTCCAAAAAAGTCTAACAATCTTAGGAACGTTACCTTCTTCCTCTATGTGGGTTTTAGCCAAACCAGGGGTCCATGCTACATGCAAGCTGGAGTACAAGCAGATACTTGATACAGGCTAGCTATCTATGTGTTACTTAGCTTTACATGTAATAGGTCATTCTCTTTGCCTTTGCTGCTGTACTATGCATATTTGTTTTCTCCTTGCACATGTTACAATTGTGGCATTAGAAATCAAACATGTATCAAAATATTAGCACGTACATTTTTAGTGAAGTGTCTTGTTAACTTACATTCATTAGTGCTCAGCGCTTCTTCAAGATGAATGTAGAAATCAGATTTCTGTGCCAGTACTCCAAGGTTTACTACTTTTGACTAGACCATGAAAGTATAAGAGAGAGTATATGAATATGCAAACGTATTTTTACACCTCATACAGATTTTTTTTCTACTGACAGAATAAAAGACACTAAGAAAAAAAGTATTAATGTGAAAGTGTTAATGAAAAGTTGGTACTTTAAAGTCTTTAGTAAGATTGTACTCAGCACTAAAAAGCATTTAAGAATTTTCTTTTAAAATACACTAGATGAACACTATTATATCGATTCTTGGTTTTACCTGTTTATCATTTTCTTCCTCTGGAGCAATGTATCGGGGTATAAGACCAGGAACTGTCGGGATGAAGAAAGGTGCTGACTTGGGAACTTTCGGTGGCTCTTTTGGTTTGTTTTTTTTCTGTTAATTAGATATTTAAATTAAAATCATCATCACAGTAAGAACATTTTCTTTGTTAAGATCTGTATTTTTAAAATACTACGAAGTCTGTAAGGACTACTTGAAAGGTAAATATGTAGGTAAAAATGTTGCACCATTAAATACGAAGGTATTATTTAGAAGACAAACAGCTCCCCCTCCCAAATCCCAGAAATTGTAAAAAGCATCATACTCAAAAAGTGGGATCAAATTTTGTGATTAGGTAAATGCAGCTCATAAAACAATGGCAAATATATCTGGCTGTATACTACTATTTTTTGTGCATTCCCTCTTTTTCTGGTCATGGAAATGCCCAGCAGTGATTTGGAGCCATAACCTTGAAGAGCTTTACAGGTACTCACTAGCTGCACTGACATGGAAATATCTGCCTTCAGACAGCTGTTTTCTGTGTTGCAGAAACAGTAATGGCAAAAGTTATGCAACGGCTTCTCCTTCTCAAGACTTCATGAGCATCCAAGGGAATGGTTAAGACAACTGTCAGGTTTACAATACCGGAGAAATTGCCCTTATTTTTCCTTCTCCTTAAAAAATACAATCCAAATCTACAGTAAATAAGCAATGCTGTGCCTAAAATTACCTTGATAACATCAAGACTGAGAAGATTTTTCCACCTTGATTCTGGCAATGAGGAAAGGGTCACCAGCTGCTCTCCCAATTGCTCAGGTGAGACATACTCTGTCATTTCATCACATGTTTCTTCATCTCCCACCACATCCACATCTTTCAAGAACAGATATCTCTAATGAATATACACACTTCCCATTTACTTAACTAAAAATCAAAACAGCATTACTATTTCTTTTGCAATTTTTTGAAAAGCATATGCATAACAGCTATATATATGGGTGCTAGCATAACATACAGCTGAAAAGCTACAGAAACCATCTTTATTAATCCTATGAAATACTACATTTAAATCATCAACACTTAAAGCTAAATTGCAGAATTAGATTTTAAAGACTGAGAAGATTTATCCACTTTGGCTGAAATCTTATATATAAAAGCAATTTATAAAAGTCCTAAAGGAAGAGCAATGGATTGCTTTTAACTTTTGTTAACTGCTTTAAAATATATACAGAACAATTTCAGTTTGAGTTACAAGTATGTAAAATCTTTGCATCTAAATACACACAATATTCACAACTTGTTCATGGGTATGACTGAAGTGGCACATAAAAATTAACAAAATCTCAACATTAAAGCACAGCATCACACAACAAAAGATAAACACTTTCTTATTATATTTTCCTGAGACTTGCTATGCAGTCTTGACCAAACACCTCTACTTGCCCTTCCTTTATTCAAAATACTACAAGGCTGAAACTATGAACATGATAGAAAAGCCTAAAACAAGAAAGAATAAAGCAACTAAAAGCTGACCACGTAAACAGGAGCTTTACATTTGCTGGAAACAAAGTGAATTAAAACATTCAGCCAGAATCAGCTTACAGGGCTGACACACAGAAAGTTTTAAGATGAAATCCTGCTTCTCTCATTTAAGTACCTAAAATAAGCATAGCCTTAACAAAGCAGTCATCATTAAGTACGTTCCTCACCCTTTTTACATGGTCAATAGCTAGGTGTGTTTCTTCTCCAGAGAGATCTAAATATAAGGACTACTAAACTTGGGCAGACAAGATCTCCATCTAGAGGCCCTCAGAAGCACAACCATGTCTGTTAAATGTGTCAGAAAAGCCATTTAGGCCTTCAGACAGAAGTCAGGGACTAAAGGAAGGCAACAAGTAGCACGTTTTTGATTACTTACAAAATCTCCTTGAAGATGCGGAGATCATCACAATGTAATTTCTTAAGTCAGAACATAGAAATATAGCTAGATTTTAGTCATGATTTAGTATCTGAGGATGTCAAAATGGAAGGAACAAAAGCATTTCTGCCAACAGGAACAGTTCATAGAATCACAGAATGTTAGGGGTTGGAAGGGACCTCTAGGGATTGTGTAGTCCAATCCCCTGCCAGAGCAGGATCCCCTAGTGCAGGTCACACAGGAATGTGTCCAGGTGGGTTTTGAAAGTCTCCAGAGAAGGAGACTCCTCAACCTCTCTGGGCAGCCTGTTCCAGTGCTCTGTCACCCTCACAGCAGAGAAGTTTCTCCTCATGTTGAGGTGGAACTTTCTATACTCTAGTCTATACTCATTATTCCTTGTTCTATTACTGGGCACCATTGAAAAGAGATGGTCCTTTTCCTCTTGACAGCCACACCCCAGATATTTATACACATTAGTAAATCCCTTCTCAGCCTTCTCTTCTCAAGCCTAAACAGCCCCAGTTCTCTCAGTCTCTCTTCATAGGAGAGATGTTCAAGTCCCTTCATCATCCTCATAGCTCCCCGTTGGAGTCTCTCCAGTAGGTCCCTGTCTCTCTTGAACTGGAGAGCCCAAAACTGGACACACTATTCCAGGTGTGGTCTCACCAGGGCAAAGTAGAGGGAGAGGAGAACCTCCCTAAACCTGCTGGACACACTTTTCTTAATGCACCCCAGGATCCCATTGGCCCTCTTGACCACAAGGGCACGTTGCTGTCCCATGGACAACTCACTGCCCACTGGGACTCCAAGGTCTTTCTCCATGGGGCTGCTTCCCAGCAGGGCAACCTCTAATCTTTCCTGGTGCCTGATGTTAATCCTCCCCAGATGCAGGACTCCACATTTGTCCTTACTGAACTGAGAAAGAAACCATTTTCTATTTGAAATGCAATATCAAACTGAAAATAAAATACTCTTTCATTGTATGATTACCTTGCATAGGGCAGGTGCTAGGGAGTGGCACCACAGAAGGTTCATAATCTGCTGGAAGGGGCCGTAAAGAGACAAGTGAATACAGAGAGCGGTTTGACCTGAAAAGTAAGATAGGCATTTTAAAAGCAATTTTCAGGTGAATGTGAACAAATATTTTACATGAAATTTTTATCGCAGTCCAATGCTACTGCATAGTGCAGTAGCATTAGACTGCAATACTGCATCAGGCAATTCACCTGGCAACTCACCAGGTTCTATTCAAGAGAAATTTTCCTCAACTACCAGATAAAGAAATTAAATGTAGCAACACGTATGTTTCAGACTTTCAGATTATATAAGTTATCCTGAAGTTTTATTGACTAAAGTTTTATTGCCATATAATACATATGGCATTATGAAGTATGATTACTTTGATCATCGCCAGTTACTTTATTTATTTGAAATGACAGAATGCCTACCTAAAAAGCTTTCTTTGTATTTAGTATGTAAAATATATTAAGCAAACATAAATGATGCATCTTGCTTTCACAGAATTTCAGAGTAGTACTCTTAGCAAACTTTCCTGAAGTTTGCAACATATCCACAGGATATTCTGGCAAATGATTTTTTTTGTCAATATAAATGAGGGCTAGGTAAAAATATTTGTCATTTTTCACAATCAAGCACTTTTACTTAAGCTTAGAAAGGTCTAACCAATGGACACTGAGGCAAAACTATAACAAATGAGGCAACAAATGTAACCAGAAAGATGCATGTAAGTATCAAAAGGAAAAAAAACCACACAAACCACTTCAAAGGTGTATTATTTCAGTACAGTCATTTGCTTTAAAGCCCTATCAGGGGAAGTTGACCCAAACATATTTTGTATTGGTGCTCGTCTATCATTAATAAACAGAAAAAACTTGCAACTTCTAAATTCTACTCAGAAGTCTCAGATGTCATATACCAAAACAAGAAAAAAAGCCCTTCAGAAAGTAATACTACATGAACACTGACATTTCAAAAGGGGTTAAAAAAAAGTAGCAGAGTCGAAGAAAAACTTTAGGAATGGCATAACAGGAACTCTTAGAGTAAGAAAGAAAAAGGACATAATTCAATTATCAGAATAATTATCTTAACAAACAATTTCAAGATTTATCAATTACAATAAGAAGGAATGTCTGTCTTAATTAGAACCAGAGAAGTCAAAACCCTGGAGATGATACTTTGGACAACAATTCTCTATTTGTAACAAAAGCGATTAAAAGAATTCTTTCTCATCTGAAATTCTGCATTGAAATAGATATACTACATACTCACCACAAATAAATTCCAAGATCATCCACGTGTGCTGAAGCTAGAAAATCTCCCGTAGGAGACATAGTAAGGCTCACAGCTGCAGAATCTACCAAAAAACAATCTATGAGGCTAAGAAGAGAAAAACACAACATAAATTCTCAGCAAGATGAACTTGTTTATATACACATATCTGAACTGCAGCACAAACATCACTGAATGCAAGCAGGACCGTGAAAGTATGTATATAAACTAGTGTATGAGAAGTATTCAAATACAACATAGAGTTAGCAAATGAAGAGCACTGTGCAACAAACCACTCCTAAATTCTCTAAAATCAGCCAAAGCTGGTATACTTACATTACCTCCTTAGACATCCACATTCCGTGAAAAATATGAATCATCTGTCCACGTTTACCTCCTTATCCCTAACACCAACTTTTATAGTGGCCATAAAAATCTGTACTTCAAATCAGCCCCATGCTGCTCTAATCTCTTAATGCTCTGCCATCAACTGTGAGTCTCCTCCCTTAGGATACTTCATATACACTTGGTTAACACTAGGACCTCGTGTTCATAAAGTAAAGAACGAACTGCATGCAGCAAAATTGAATTATCTGCAACAGTCTGACATGATCATCTATTCAGCCTGATATACCATTCCTTGATCATTTCTTTCACTGCAGAAAACTAAAAAAATACCACATAAAGTTACAATATTCTATAGTATATCACATCAAACTACTCAAGCAACTGAGTTCTGAATAATGCCACACGTTCTGGATGATCCACACCCTAGTAGACTCTCACTCAAGTCCAGGTTCATACCACTGCTTGTGACTTGTTGAGGTATTAATCTCAGTTCAAACTGTAAGAAGCAGTTGAATTTGACAACTAGTTCAGTAGGAAAAAACGAGAGAAAATGGAAACTTTGAATACTTTGTTCTTGTTTAGAACACAGAGTGCAAAGTGCTTAGAGCAGCGAGTTCTACAGTCTTGTTCTGTTCACTAACCATAAAAAAAAATTTTAAAAAAGCGATGTAACAAAGCAGTTTAAAATGTAACATCTTGTGGGCATGTATTTTCTAAAGTACTGAGCACTCCTGCGACGGTTCAACAAACCATATTGAAAAGAAAAACGTTTTTCTTCCACATGTGCGTTTTATTCCTTCTGCATGCTGCTAGACATATGTTACAAGCAAAAAGTCATCAGGTAAGAGCCTCATCATTTCTCATTTAAACGTAAAATATACAAAATCTAAACCCCATAAATGCCAGTACATGTATCAATTACACTAATACACTTTGTACACAGTGCACAATGGCTAGAAAATTTACCATAAATACTCCTCTTTGTTTCAAATCCATCCTTTTACCACAATCTTTATCAGTAACTTAGACATATTGTTCAATAAAGCAACCACAAGGAACAACTGCAAACCAAGGTTAACATTAACTTCCATTTTTCAACTTACTGAATTTAAATAATGATTAACATTACAGACTTGGGGAAGGCAGTGTAGAAGAAATCAGTCCACTACAGGACAATGACAGACACCGTTGTAATTTTTACAAAAAAGGTACAGTAACTGCTAAACGAATCCTGCCTGGGGGCTGAAGAAGGCACCCACCTTTACACTTACTGCCTAACTGCAAATGTGAGCCAACGGAGAGTATAGAATTGCTAAAGCTGACACTAGCAGCATGTTTCTTACACCATTATGTCTCAAGTACTCTAGCCAAACTATTAACAGTCAGCTTGCACCCCTGATGCCTTCATTTGTCCATGCAAGCTGCACTGCAGAAACAAAAATATGCATAATGCTAAGGTTCCTGCTTGTAACTTTCTCTAGACCAAATTGGGTTGGGATGTTTTTTCCAATTGTCCAAAAAGTGCTACAGAAAGAACATGCATTAGGAATAGTTACATTATGTAAGGACAGTTAGGCAGCATTCCCAAGTAAAAACAGATGTTCAAGAAGTAAATGGTATGACATCTATTCAAGTTATTTGGTATTTTTTGTAACGTAGGACTTTCCATCCTGTTACAAGGACAATATGAAACCTGAGTCTTTAGAATGTCCAGTTTATAATTTGATTTTTCTGGTTCTGAGCAAGTACATCCCAGCAAAAGTAAATCAAGCATCTGGCTTATTAAAAGATGTTTTTCCTCTTCAATACACTCCTCTGCCTTTAGTTACGGGAAAACTTTGCCTTTGAATTCTGGAAGAACTTTCAAAAACAGGGTTTGTCATGTACCTGCCATGATTTCAGCTTCACCAGAATTTCTTGTGGTTAGTTGAGATAAAATGCAAACAAGAACTACTGTCAGACTACTTTTAAAAACCAGTATGATGGATTCTTACTGCTAAGTGTTCTGTTATTAAACTAATGACAGATACAGTATTTCTGAAGTTTTATAATTAATGCTGCAATTTTTGTAGGCATCACTTTCGAAGGGAAGGAGGGTTAAAAAGAGAAGATCCACAGAGAGTGTCAATTTCTCTACCATTTTACTGGAAAAAAGACAATTACTGTCCATCCTGTCCCACTTGAGACTACTGTCATTCATCATGTAAGAACAGGTCAATTGTTTGTTGAGATTCAACGTACTTTTCAAGACAAACTGAAAACTTTTAGAGTATTAAAAATTACTTACCAAACCACATCAACAGAAGTAACCAATCCAAATGAAACCATTCAGGTCCCAGGTATGATCAGACCAGCACACTGCATAGCATTACTTCAAATTATTAAAAATCTACTGATGTGCTGCTAAAAGAACGCACTGGCAGAACTCAAATTTACTTTGAGTAAATTTTACTTTGTTTTTTTCTGGGCACCTGAACTTCTTGTGTGCATTTGTGTACTTCTTGGCCAAATTTTGTTCTGGGAGAACACTCACAGTGGACGACGAAAGAATTTTTGGCAGTTGCAAGCATACACAAATGGAAACTATAACAGAAGTAAAGCCTTATTGCGTTACTAAAATCAATGTAACTGAGAACAGATTTCTATTTACAAAACCAACTGAGTAGTGCATTCGATCTCTGGGGCCCCCAACACAAGACAGATATGAAGTCAGAGCAGGGCCAGGAAAATAATCAGAGGGCTGAAACATGTTTCCTAAAGTAAGCCTGCGAGAGCTGGAGGTGTCCAGCCTGGAGAACAGACGGCTCCTTAGAGAACCACTTGTGGCTTTTCAATACTTTAAGGGGACTTATAAGAAAGACCAAGAGAGATTTCTAACAGTGCCTGTAGTGATAGGACAAGGGGCAATGGTTTTGAAGTTAAAGAGGGTAAGTTTAGATTAGATACAAGGAAGAATTTTTTTATGATGAGGTTGGTAAGACAATGGAACAAGGCAAGTTATGGACGGCCCATCACTGGAAGTGTTCAAGGTCAGGTTGGATGGGGCTTTGAGCAACCCAGTCTAGCGAAAGATGTCCCTGTCCATAGCAGTGGGGCTGGACAAGATCTCTAAAGGTCACTTCTAACTCAAACCATTCTATGATCCTATGAATACTTCAGTACATCACAAAGGAATTGACCTTAAGCAATCTCTTGCCATTTAGATTATAGTGCTGCTTCCAGATAAAGAACAAATTCACACTCACATGTACTACATGAAAACTCCAGGACTACAACCTAGTACAGGTTGGTGACAGATAATCACGCCAGAAGACTTTTTGTCAATTAATGAACAGAAAGGGCATTATTAAAAATATACATCAGAAATTTATTAACTAACTCACCATCCAGAGGGAAGATCCCATGTCTTAATGGTACAGTCCATTGCTGAAGTTATTAGCCAACGACCATCAGGACTGAAAGTCTAAAACAGAAAAGTCAATTTAATGGCAAAACTGATAAGTCAGTCCCTACAGGAAGTCCTGTTTAATACAGCACAAGATTAGACTGCTCCCTAACACCAGGATGACATGGTCTGAGCATAAAACAAAATTGACACCACCTTATTGAAACCGAGAAGAAGACAAAAGAGGAAGCTATTTCAGAATAGGTTTAAACATACGACACAGGATACATCTGGCTCTTAGTAAAAGCACTTTGGTCCTCACTTTTACATTAATGATGAAAATCACTAAACATAAAACTGAAGAAACCAAATTCTTCCTTACTAGCACTTAGAATTAAACCAGAAGCTAGAAACTATTTCAATTAGCAATGCAAAGCACTATTACACAATATGTAAAATAAAGAATTGCAGAATCTCAGATCTGTTTACACATTTTACTTATCTGGCTTATCTTTTCTGTATATACAGACTGTTGCACAAATTTGCTTCTCGACAGGGTTTTCGTCATCCCCAATCCTTTGTTAAACTCAAAACTAGCTTGTTGCAAAGTTATGGTAAAATTCCAAAGCACACTAAAAATACATGGCCATTCAAACAGTATACATTTTAACTTGAAAACTAACATGGCCAAAACTGCTGTAAAGCTTAACTACAACTTTACTATTTGCAGCAAAACATAATACTCAGTGACTTTATTCAGTATTTGTATGTCACCTGCTAGAGAAAATGAGTTAACAAGAAAATGAGTTAACAATTACCATGTCATTAATCCGTCCATGGTGTCCTGAGAAGATCCTGACAATCTTCCTGGTTTCTATATCCAGAATATTAATACTGAAGTCATCAAAGGTAATTCCCAGAATACTGCTGCCAAGAATCATTAGAACATATGACAGTCAATACTCCAGAGACAAGAAGTAAAAACATCCTACCACTGCTTCAAAAGTATTTTACCCTGAGATAATCTCAGATAAACATCATTACATTCCTTCAGTCTAATAACATGTCTTGTAGTAATTTTTTTTTTGTCAACTAGCAGTCAGTTGTATTTCAAAGCATTAGAAAGTTAAATTTAATTAGAACATTTGGTTACCATCCTAGACATGCACGTGAAATAGCTTCAGTTTCTTACCTGTCTCTGTGAAGCAGAATTCCACTTGGAGAAGAAGAAAGCTCAGTGGAGTAGACTAGATCTTTAGTTTTAAATTTCCAAAATTTAATTAATCCTTCACTACCAGCTGTGATTATCAGTTGGTTTAATCCATCCACTGCTACTCCCCTAATGGCCCCCTCATGTGCTGCAAATCAAACAAAGAAAAAGTTGTATTCCAGAACTTAAACACAGAAAGCATAGAACTCAGCAGAATGCCAAATGCTATTCTGTATGTCTTTGCCTAACTCCACTAAAGAGCAGTCAATACGTGACAAGCAATTCTAAAGCCACCTGTCCACACTGCTTGAATATTAAAGTTCCTTTACCAGTACAGTAACCAACTTGCTTTCAAGTAAGCACATATAATACAATGGAAAAAAAAGCTGTGAGTAACTGAAGCTATATATTAGCTTTTACTTATGGTTTTAGTTTGGCAGGCTTTTGTCGAACGTGAGATTTGAGGGACTTTTTGAATCACTTATGGAATGCCTCCTGACCACTCTGGACAAAATTTACAGCTTTAGTTCTGGCAAAAATCTGAGCTTTCCTAGGCTACTTTACACCACAGCATAAAGACAAGCCATAGCTCCTATGGTTTTAGATCAACTTTATTTCTTAACCTATGCCTAGGGCTACTGGACAGTAACCAAACTTATAAAATTCACCCCACTATCAAGCAATATTATTAGAAGACCACTTCATGTCTGCTATGCTAGATGGCTTTTAGAAATGCAGTGAGGTTTAAGGGTTCATCAGGACTCTTTTCTTGTTTCTACAAAAAAAAATAAAATCAGATCACAAGGGTCCTATTACAAATCGCAGACACAAAAGCAACAGCTAAGATACATGAGGATACATGACATGAAATATGTATGTATGTGACCATTAAAAAGAAAAGTCTGACATTAAGTCTTAAGTCTGCAGTTGAGAAATTGAAAATAACAGCATATGCAAAGAACAGGACTTGCTTGGGATTTCAGCCTCCCATGCATGTAAAATAATCTTTCATTTTTAAGCAGGGAGCACAAAACAGATGGAAAAATATATCTCAGAGACAGAACCCTGTAACAAGAAGCCAAGCACTGGAAATGTTATTATCTCAAAAAGAGCTGAGGCAAGATGATCTCATTTCAGTGCAAACCATTTTGGTGCTAACCATTTTGGTAAGTGACAATTTTGTATTAAAGCCAAACATATGCTAACATCAGGGCTATTAAAACTAGCAAGGATTCTGTCCTTCAGAATAGGTTTCAAATTACTTCTGATTACAGTGCAAGTGCAGTGCAGTGTAGGGTAATTAAAGAAACCAAAAAGATTCCCAAATTCAATTCAGAAGCTATCTTAAAATTCCTATACGACAGAACACAAGGTTGTTACTGTTAAGAATCAGTATTCTAGAGGTGTAGCAATTCTTACCTCTTTCTTTACCGTAACGCCCCCTGTGAATGCCAGATTGCATGTTATACACATCTACCTGTCCAGTGGACAGCCCGATTACAGCAAAGTTTCCACATGAAGTAATGTCAACTGCCTTTCAAGAGAGGAAAAAAAAAAAGCCTATGAAAGCAGTTCTTTACATATACGTCTAATTAGTGAAGTTGTTAAAACATACTAGTATTTTGTATTCCTGATACATTCTGTAAGTTTTTACTAGACTTCTTCAAGGAGAACTGCACAGAACAACAGATTACATCTCAAAAAAACCAGAGAAGCTATTAAAATAAGTAAATAATCAACAAGTAATAAATATGGCAATGCATGCTTATGAAGGATAATGAAACACTTAGTGACTGTGATATTTTAGCCTGAGGGTTTCAGACTTGCTGAATGCAGGTGTTCGCTTATCTATTATGCAGACCCTGAGAATGGAGAAAAACAAGGCCTACACAGTGAGAACCAGCCAAAGAAGGGAGTCTTGTGATGCCAGGACAGACCTGTTTTGGCTAAAGAGCAAGGCTGCACAGAGAACTAACAGTGCGAACATCATCCTGCAAATAGAAAAGCTGCTTCAAACCAAAATCCTGAAGGCCACAGGGCCCAGAGCAGAAATTTTCACCCTAACATCCCTATATGGCTATAGCCACCCACTCTTCACTCAAATCACACTGAGTGACACCCCGGGGCAGGGGAAAGACAGTATACAAGGAGCATAGAGGGTATGTGTCGTTGCGGGGAGAAGACCCCAGAAGAGGAAGAGGCAGTTGACAGGGCTGTGCTCCTTCTCGTTCACCCAAGACAGGGATGTCTTCTTGGTAAGAATCGTGTTTCCACCTTTTGGTGAGTAAAACCCAGGATAGTATTTTGTTAGCATTATTATCATATATTAGCGCTATTGCAGAGAGTGAATTTATCAATGGCAACTCTGAATCTTCTATCTGTCGCTTTAATAAATTACCTATTGTTAGTTTCCTTGCAAATTGTCTCAGTAAAAGTCCTTAATGAGACTCTGAAACTCAGCTGGGGTACGTGCCTCTCAGTCACATACCTTTCATGCGACAGTGACATCCACCGGCAGCCATATCTAATAATACCAGCAGTGACATCCAAAAATTCATGCATCCACAAAGTCAAAGCATGCTGACTGCATGTCTTTTTCAATGCCTGCATTTCCAGTGGCACTCCAAAATAGGTTAAGTTCACACAGAGTTTAAATAGTAAGAAACAAGAGTCCAGATGTCTTTGGAAAGATACAGTCCAAAGAATCTAGTGGTTAAAAGAAAACCAGGTATTTACAACAAAACTTATCTTGTCTAACACTTAACTACTAAGCATAAAGTCAGAAAAACAATTTATCAAAAGATCCAGTAGTAGTATGAATGCCTAGCACATGAAATATAGAATCATAGAATGGCCTAGGCTGGAAGGGACCTTAGAGATCATTTTAATCCAGCCTCCCTGTCGCCAGGGACGCCACCTGTCGACTAGATCAGACAACACATGGGGACCAAACGGGATCGAACCCGTGACCTTGGCGTTGCTAGCGCCATGCTAAACTGACTGAGCTAACCGCTCCCCTACTGAGCTAACCGGGAAGTGGGGGCAGGGGGGGCCCTATATGCCACAGTAACTACTTGTCTTGCAAGCTCATAAACCTCAGTAAACATTTAATCCTCTTTCACAGAGCGAGTGACTTTTGTTGTATCCAGCTCAAGTTGTAAACCACTTTAGAGGGAAAATTTTAAAACAAATTTTATTGCCAAAAAACTAGCAATTACCAGTCACAAAGCAAGCTTATCATCACATGCATTCTCTACATCACTGTGACAGATTAAAGGTAAATATCAACTGCTTATCTGAATCAGAAACTCAAATCTGGATGTTTAAGGAAAAAAATGCACGTGCAGGGTTCTTCTTAAGACTATTTGCATCATAAAACATCTAGCGGGACACACTGAGATAGCAGAAAGCACTTTGCAAAGCAACTCAACTGTATCTGGATAGTACTTTTCATTCTAAAAGTTGCCCCTTAAACAGAAATCAAAATAGCATCTACTGTAACGCTGATGAAACATCCTAAATAAACTTACTGTTGCATATATATCAATAGGTTTGTGTTTGCTGAATTCTTCTGGCCTCAGTTTATGAGCTCCCATGGAAGTTTTCTGATAGTTCCAGGTTGTACAGGTTATATACCCTTGATGGCAGGCAACAATACCGTCCCAGTCACTCTGATGTGCCACTTCTGCAATGTAACACATACTCATTTTAGAAACAATCGCTCTAAGTCAAATAAGCTCTTCTGATATCAGAAGAAAGAATACTCTGAAATGCCTTTAGGCAGAACAGTTCATGTTTACTGTTCTTGTTGGGACAGTCAAAAGGCCAACATTTTGAAAAAGAACCTGGCAAACTGTTGTGCATATGCTAGTGTAACTAAAAAGTTAAAAAACCACAAGCATTTTTGTGTATGTACGTTTCACATCTTTTTGTATTTGAGTCTATGCAATTTAAGCTTCAATGGTTTAAACTGCTCAATCTGTACTCATTTCTAGCGAAGTCACTTAAATGCTTCTTCAGTTGTGGAAGCAGAGGAAGTCATGCAATTAACAACTTAAAAAGCAGGGCTCAGAGCCAAGTCTGCTTCACATAGCAAAGACTTTTCTGCATTTTTAAGAAAATATTCCCTCAAAAGCTCAGTATCCAATCTTTGTAGTCAAACATGATATGTGAGAATCTAAATAATCAGCAGGGGTTTTAGTTTGTTTTCTTCATTTGTTTTTTTTTTAATTCATACATTTACAAAAGTGAAAGATTGAAATTGGGTATTTCTACAACTTCAAAGAAACACATTTAAGGTAGCTCTATGCCTTAAACCAATCAGGCAGGTATAATATTCATTTTGAAAGTGCATATATATTCACACACACACAAACATACATGCAGAACAAGTATGTACAGATAGCCTGTATCACTGTAGTCTGTAAATATAAATACTGTATATAGCCAAAGGGCTACACAAACCCATAAACCCAAACTTTTCAACGTATGAATCAATCATCTCAGAAGACAAAAGAGACATCTTTGCATTTCTGCTGTATTAAACTGCTCTTATCATAACCCATGGGCCTCTTGCTGTATTTTCCTCTCCCCTGTCCATCTAAGAAGGGGGAGCAAAAGAGTGGCTTTGGTGGGCTCCTGCCCTCCAGCCAGGGCCAAACCAACACAGTGCCTCAGAAAGTTACGTTTGCTATTTATATAATGAACTAAAAGTGGAAAGAGTAACTGAAATTTGACTTTGAAAACTGGCTCAAAATGAAGGAACTGCGGAATCAAAATCAACCACTGCAAGATTTCCTCAGCAGGCAGAGATCTTCCAACTCCCTAACTGCTGGTTCTCCAGCCTGGAGTAACTCACAGACTAGAAGATTCTGGCTACTGTGATGGAGATCTTCAAGCCAATAACCAGTTAAACATAAAGATGTTTGAAATAAATTCCTCATTTTTGAAACAGTAGAAAAGTTTTACAAGTAAAATGACATTTTAAACCATCACTCAAGAGCTAATGATGAAGGGCCACAGAATCTCAACAATCTCATCTTGGTACAGCACATGCTTTAAAAAACAGTATGGTCTTGAGAATTAAAAGACAAAATGAAAACATAATGAACTCTGTAACATATCTCAAAGACTACTTACCTGAAGCAAAGACTGTAACTGGTGGAAGTGCCATCGTATCAAGCTTAAGACCTTTCTTTTTTGATTTCTTTTTGTTAATTGAACCTTGAAAAAAAAGAAGTGTCTCAATCTTGTGGTTAGATCTGAGAAAGGACTGCTTACTAAATGTAAAAAGGACTGTTTACTAAATGTAAAATTCCTATTAAAACCTACATTAACATAAGACTGCTGTTACATAGGGTAGCATTCATAGGGTTCCTGTTAAATCCATGTCGAGTGTATCACTAGCTATTACACTCACCGACGTACTACTTAACTCATTTGTTCCAGGATCTCATGCCGACACCCTGAGGCAGAAGTCCCCTCATCACTGCTAACACCATAGTCATACAGACATGACTATGTCTGTAAAATATATATTTTACAGCAATATATAACACCCAGCCCTTTCAATAACAAGAGTCAAGAATTTAAAATTTATGCCCAAAGGATATATAGAATCAATTAATCTACATCTGTCTATTAAAATATATCTAAATACACATATATCAACATATATTTAAAATAAGAACTATTTTAGTCTGTCTGAGCCTTGGTCTCTGAACTGTACAAGAAATTATCCCTTAGCATAGCATTGTGTGGAAGATGTGTTCTTTACATTAAACTCTACATTAAACCAATACAACTTGTACATAAATATGAATTAACTAATAATGTAGTAAATTGAATAGAAGAGGAATGAGGTAAAAAGTTGTAATTATGCACGCTGAAGCATCTGCTACTGCTTTATACATTTTTAATGTAAAAATCATGCCCAGTGTTTCCACACTACCAGGCCACAGAAATCACTTTTCTTAAGTACAAATATGACAGTACACTTCATATACACCAGGAAGGACTCTGTTTGCAGAACAACTGAGGTTAATTTTTCATACCACAGTTAAAATGAAAATAATGCCTACTCAATATCTTAACTCTTGTTTGCAAAAACACTTTTCAGGGGTTTTTTTCAACAATATTTGTACTTTCACTAAATTACTTACCACGTCCTAAACTTTTATTGAACTTGTCATGCACTGTTGAAAAAGACTGCAATGTTCCATCTTGACCTGACAAAATATTAGCAGAGTGGCAAAAGGCAAAATTTAACTTTCTTTTAATTAACAAATTAACTAACAAATAAGCTACTTTAGCAAAAAAAGCAGAAGATAAGCACTGAGAAACCTCAAACACCATAATAAAATATTTACAAAAAAATCTAATTCAAGAAAAAATACAGATAAACTATAAGCAGTGGAACTAATGGAGACTAATTTTCTGTAATTTATAGCCCAGTCCTGCTACTTTGCCCTATGTATGCTAAGAATGACACCTTTTTTACAGACACCTTCTCCATGTTCAATTCCCTGTCCCCACTCTTCTCCGCCATAGTATCTAGGTGTTCCCAGCTTTTTAAGATCAAAATCTCAAATAAAATGTTACTTCCTCCAAATACCTCCATACTTCCAAAGCTTCCACACGATGCCATGTAACTCCATGTACCCCCTCACCAACTGTAACATTCCTTTCTTTGCCTAACCAGCACATGCTGTGTCTTTAAGAACTACACCTAAGTTAGCCAGGAAGCTAACCCAAACAAAAATGCAGAAGACGAGTTGTCCATTTCTCTTGTAAGCTAGGGTATTAGTGGGACTTGTCTCCTCTACCCAGTGATCAATGTTCACAGAACTGATAGGAACTGAATCAAGGCACAGAAGGTTTGAATCTGAAACTAGCAAACAGGTACACTTTCTTGGGTAGGTGTGGACAAGGCAGAACCAGAAACTATCAGAAAATGAAACTGCACAATGCATGTAAAATTAAACACATTGAGATGATTTTTAAAACCCAGAAAAGTCACAAACCATTTTTACTAGGCCAAACAAGCAAAGAGAAAATTAGTCAAAGTGAACTTAAAGGATCTGAAAGACAAGTGAACAATTATAGTATTCAAGCATCCCTTCCTTGCTGCTATGATACCTAAGTGAGACGGGATGTAAAAATCAGGAACTGGGGGAAATGTTAAGCAGGATAAAAGTCAGTGACATTGGTGAAAATTTACCAAGGTAATTTGTGGAGATGCATATTCTAAGGAACCAGTAGCAGTTGAAGAGTACTCTAAGAGCACTGCTACCTTATTTCTGTCACACAAACTTTTGCCACTGGTTCAGAAAGGAATGCAAAGAGTCAGCCTTCTCACAACGTAGACACATCAGGTCTCAAAGCCTGAGGCTCTTTTAACTTTAGTGGTTGCCTCTGTGCCCCCTCCTCATGCTTCAGTGCAGCTAATAGGGCAGTAAACTGCAAAAGTATATGTGAGGATTTGTTAATCAAATCTGGATTGTGATTGTGGTTCATCTCATGTGAGAGGAATTACTGTCAAGTACTAGTTACCTGAACCCAAGTTACTAGCTGGATGATCAGCAGGATATTTTATCACAGTTGGTTTTAGCATCGTGCATTGCTGTGGCATATGAGGTGCAACATTCATCAAAATGTCATGTTTTCAAATGTTGTCCAGGCACACAATTTCATTTTTTCAGAGTAATTAAAGATTAGGTGAATAATCACAGAATTGTTTTGGCTGGAAAAGACCAATCATAAAACTAATATTGTAAAGTTCACTGCTAAACCATGTGCCTGAGCACCATATCTACACATCTTTTAAATACCTCCAGGGATGGCAACTCAACCACTTTCCTAGGCTGCCTTTTCGAGCACTCTATAACCCTTTCTGTGGAGAAGTTTCTCCTAATATCCAGTCAAAACCCTGCTGCAACCTGAGGCCATTTCTTCTTGTCCTGCTTGTTACTTGGGGAGAAGGGACCAATAACCATTTCACTACAACCTCCTTTCAGGTATTGTAGATGGCAATAAGGTTTCCTCTCAGCCTCCTTTTCTTCAAGCTAGACAACTCCAGTCTCTATTATTCCACCACTTAAGTGTTCTAGACAATTAACAGTCTGATCTAGTACTTCATTTCCTAAGGAGTCTACAGATTTTGTAAATATGTTAGTTTCTAAGGAAGGGTAGTCAGTCACTTTTGCATTTTTACACTTTTAGACAAGTATCTTGGTAACAAGCAACCTTGTCAATATATATTATTGACAGAACTGAGCTGTAACGAGTTACAAAGACACTGCAATCTACAAAGCTAGCTCAAACTAGTGGGAAAAGTGGAGAAGCTCCTCAAAGTTATTAAATACATTCTGCTGCTTACTTTTTCCCCTGTCAAAACAGAATTTCTATAGTTATTTCACATTTTAATTTTGACTAGATGCTAGTTCCTTAGGAGGTAATGAAACAATTTTTATTCATCAAACCTATAAATGTAGATGATGAAAGCAGCTCCTAAACTTTTCAGCCTACACATTCATATACCTTCTTCTAGGGAAACCATGACACAATTTGATACAGTAATAAACAATACTGCCTACCTTATCACTTACCATGTCTCATAAATACATGTAAATAACACATGAAACATAGTCTACTGTATTAATAAAACAAAGTTGCTTAGCTCTGCATGTTTTCTTTATAGAATCATAGAACAATTCAGGTTGG